AAATGATGGGGTTCACAGCAGAGCTCAGATAGAAGAAAACACCTAGGAGAACAACGGTGGGGGAAAGAAGAGAGGGACCTCATTTTTGTGTGGAACCATCTCAGAAGAGTTAAAAAAAAAATCTCTTCATTGCCTGTACTGCTCCACCAAGCTTGAGTGCAAGGGTGGAGGCAGCAACAACACATCCCTGGCTGCTGCCATCCTGGCAGAAGGATGATCTTGCCAAGGCTAGTCCAGGTGCTGCAGCACATAGGGAAAGGAAAAAAGGAGACAGTATTAACTGGAGCTCCCTGTCCCCAGCTGCTCAGGAACCAGCTCTCTCCTGCTCTGTGCTGACCTGCCTCCAGCACAGCCCTTGTCTCCACAGCAGGACTTGCACAGCTGGTGCCCCCATCAAAGCTGCCAGAGGAGAACCTCCAGCTGAGAGGAGCTAATTTCTTACTGCACACCAGGACAATTGCACAAGATTGGATTTTTCTGAGCAACCTGATGGCCACATTCAGTGTTTTCCCATGGCAGATTGAAAATAAGATTCCTCTTTGAAAAAGCCTTCATTTTATGGTTGGCAAGGCTGTAAACTTTTGATTACATCACCCAGTTCTGAGAAGTATGTAAGTTTTTTGTCTTGCTATTTGAGAAGGTTTCTTGTTTTCCTGGGAGACCCTCTGGAGGACGATGCCTGCTGCTGTGTATTCATTAAAAGCAGCTGGATGACAGCAGGTTTTATTTCTGAACATTTCCAAGAAGGAAAAGCAGCTGGTAATGATGTATGATATGCTATTAATGTTATTTTTTTTTTATTATTTTTTTTGTGAATACTCAGACAACAGTGTTGGACAACATGTCCCAATCCTGAAAGCTGCAGAAACCTGGATGCCACTTTTATTTAAGGCACAATTCTCTTCAATGCCTTCCAAACCCCAAGAAGTTTTATTTCCAGCCCCCATGCAGGTGAAAGAAGAAAGCTTTACCTGACACCACATGAATTAAGTTGAATATGTTAGCCAGAGGTTCAGTCCATTCCACAACAAAGCTGAAGAAAAGTCGATCTATGTGGAATGGAGCCCAGCAAACAGCAAAGACCATCACCAGGACAACTAGCATGGAGTAAGGGGGGAAGAAGAACAAGTCAGTTAAGGAAGGACTTGGTTCACTAGCCTGCACAGAGCAGAGATGGTTCCAAAAGCTGGATGAAAGACTAAATATACAAACTGCATTTGTTTCAAAACTTTGTAATTCTTTCTGTCTTCCTGCAGTGCTCACTGAAAAACATTAACAGCTACAGGAGCAAACTTCCCACTGCTGTCTGTGTTGGAGAACTGACTGCATGCACAGCCAAGGACATTCACACAGAGCAGGCAACAGCCCGTTCTGCTGTGACATGGACAGAGCTTAATGAAGAGACCACCAGTGAGACACTGGGAGTCATCTGTGCCACCCGGGACACACTGACTGCATTGGCCTTGGAATGAATTTCCTCGACACTGTTTGTACATCACCCAGCAGGTAAGGCCATAGGAACCACCTGGTGATGGTTAAGTCTGTCTGGGTGAACTCTTCAGCACAAAGCAAAGAGTTTGTCTCCATGCACAACTTGGCTGGCTGTAATAAGGACTCCTGCAAGCCCGTTACAGACTTGGGTCCTCTGAACATCTGTGGTGGGGCACAGAAATCAGGATGACTCCAAAGCACCATTTCCTGGTTCAGAAAGTGACTTGAGCTGCCTAAAAAGACCAATGTTGTTGCAGGCAATATTGAAGGTGGTTTGTGTTTCCTGCATAAGCACTATCTTAGTAGCAGGTGATCTGTGCCTTAAAGACAGCCCTAAATTAGGAAGTGATGTGGGTGCTTTCAGGGAGTTAGGAGCCCAAATTCTCATGAATTCTATAAAATATACAAGTCTGTCCATGTCATATTTTTTCTAGGGAAGGTCTAAGTGGTTAAGTCAGCAGTAGGTAATGTATGTGGCTTGGCAGGACCTTGTTCACTAGCAGAGCTCGTGGTGTGATGTAAGACAGATGTGCATCCTTCTTAAAAAAATATACAAGATAGACTGTTTGCATTCTGAACAAAAGGGATCCTCCCAGAAGGGCTGCAAGAGCCACGTTTGGAGTGAGGGATGTTAGTGTTGCCATGCAAGCATCTGCCATGTAGGTTTGCTCAACCTCTTGTGCTGGGGAGGAAAATTTGCTGTTGTTTTTTTTTTTATCACAGCTACTCATCTGATAACTCCTGTATCAGTGAATTTAACTGATAACCTCCAGGACCTGGTCACCCTCTTGTCCATGTTGAGTACAACAAAGAAGGACTCACTACTTACACAGCATCTTGGTGACTGATTTCCTGGATGGCCTCTGAACACTCACACCCATTTCCTCCACTTCCAGAGATTTGTCTCCTTTCAGCTGGCAAAAGGAGGGAAACCAAAGGAGATCTTAGACAGGAGGTAACATCCCCACCAGACATAGCCTCTTTGATATTTTGATAGCTGCAATTTGATAAAAAAAAACAACTAAAGGCAACTCAGGACCTACTGGAAAAAAACCCTACACATAAACTTCAGTTTTAGTCTAGAGAAACATTGAAACATTTTGTTCAAAGCAATCTGCAGATTTTATGCATCTGAGCTTTCCTATTTGCAGCACATTTGTATTTCAGTTCCCCACTTGTCTTTTCTCAGTGAGTCAATATTTTGTTCACAGCTTGTGTTCAATTTCAACAATACTTTGCAAGGCATTGTTTTATCTTCTAGCAAAATATTGTTTGTTTATTTTCCTAAAAATGTTCCCCACAATTAAGCACAAACCAATGATCCAAAAAATAGCCAGAGAGGCCTCAGTGAAACACAGCTGTATTCACTGGAAAAAATCCTGTAGAATTCAAGGGAGTTTTGTTTCATGCCCTGAGTGTTTGGACTAATTGATATTCAACACATCTAACGAGCAAACCCTATATATGCTCAGTTGCATGATATGAACAGATCCAGATCCTGCTCAGCTGCAACAAGGTGTTTGTTTTATTTTGTTTTGGGTTTTTTTGTTGTTGTTTTGTTTTTTTCTCAAGTGGTTTTTCCTGGACTTCTAAAAAAAATGATATAAATAATTGTAATCTGATCCTCCCTGAAATACTTCCCCAATATCCTTATAGCAAGAGCACTGGTGTTTTGGTGATGAAAGACCAAGGCCAATCAGGACAATTCCTTTGATTATAAAAGAAATCATCTCTGGACAGTGTATAATTGGACCCAGAAGTGGAAGTGATTTGGAGTGATGTTTTTTTTCAAC